AGTTTCTAATATTTGTTCTATTCTTGTATCGAGTTAATTTAGACTATCCATGTTAACCAAGATGGGGATAGGAATAGGGACCAGATCTGTGATTTCACTGGTAAAGGGAAATCACAGACAAGTAAATTCTCTCTATAAATCTGCATCTTAGAGTCTTAGAAAGTTGCCTACAGACACTAAAGAACAATTAAGTGAGGAAAAAAAAAGAAAGATTAAGTGACTTGTCCAGGGTCACACAGCTGGTTTTTGTCAGAATGGAGATTTGTAATCAGGTCTTTGTGGATCTGAAGCCAGCTTTTTATCCATTATGTCACAGTGACAAATTGAGTGAAAAACAGTGACCAAGAAATGTCTTTGGTATAGAGATGACAGGTCTAAGATAGATTCCTCTTTCACAGTTGTTCTCTGGGGTTGCAGGGTAAAAACCAGAGCCATAACTAAAAAATTTAGCACCTGGTTCAAGCTTCACAAGACTCATAGGATCATAGATCTACAGATGGGAAGAGACCTTAGAGGTCCTCAATCACCCTTCCCTATATTTTCAAGATGAGGAAACAGACTCATAGAAATTAAGCAACTTAACCATGTTCACATAGGTTGTAAGTGGTGGAGCTGAGATCTTCTAACCTAAAATCTAGGATTCTTTGTCCTATACCTAGGACAAACAGCACAAAATCAAATTCTTAAGACAACTTCAGTTGAGGGGCAGGAAGAAAGACAGTATATAAGGCCCCATGGTGAGAGAAAGCCTAGGACACAGGACATCATAATACTGCTACTGGGCAGGCTACCATTTAAGCAGAGGGAGCAAGGCCAAGGGAAGGAGGAGCTCAGCTGGAGAAGAGGCATGACAACTGCTAACTTCTTAACTTAGCTAGTTATTCTCAGTAATTGGGCACTAAATTTAGTTGTCTTTACAATGCTAAAAGTATAAGTGCAAACATCATTCTTTAAATTTCAGCGCCCTGTGGCAAAGCCCTGATCTCCCTGCCCTAGTTATGATGTTACCCAGAACTGCCCTCTTGGAAGATCTGCCCTTTGCAAATGGTTAAAGAATCTGTACTGTTTTTCTTTTGTGTGTGTGTGTGTGTGTGTGTGTGTGTGTGTGTGTGTGAAGAAGAAGCAAAAGGAATCTGAATTCTTATATGTTCCCCTAGGAATCATTGAAATACATGCTATGGGAAATCTTAAGGGGCTCCAGTTCTGGGTAAAGTTACTACCCCCTCCCATGCCCAGAGCTGTGTACATACTTGAGTTTCTTGGCATTCTTCTCAGTGACAGGGATGTGGACAATGATAGGGAAGATCTCAGTCCTGTGCAGGGCTTGCACACAGTTCAGCCTGATGTCCAAGAGGCAGTGTATATTCTGTAGAAAATGTAGAAAATTAAGACTATTGGCATCAGGGGAAAAATGACTGGAACTTTCAGGACCATCATGGACTTCTTAAAGATTGAGATGGTATCTTTGTATTTCCAGTGCCTCACATAAGGTCTTGCCCACAGTAAACCTTTAATAAATATTTATTGGCTTTAATTGAACCAACCCTGTGAAGGGCAGATAACGGATCTTGACTCAGACTCCTTAGGAAAGGACACAACAGAAAGGAATTGGAGAAATATAATTCAACTCCAAAGGGAAAGATGCTATCACCTGCACAAAGCTATCACCTGTATGGATTTCATTTGGCCACTGATGCGGCCATTTGCAATGAGGAAATTAGTTGCCAAATAGCCAAGCTTTTCTAGGGAGTTAGGTTTCGAAGGGTCTTCAACTCAATCCTCTTGGTGTGTTACTGTGCGCAAAGACCTTCTGCACTCACTTATCCAGTGGCCTTTCTCTCCACTCTCCCTCTTGCCATATAGAACAGTTCTCCTTTACCTTATGCATCAAGGACTCTACTGCTTGGTAGGTTACATAATTGTGGTGGCTGGGCTCCTCCTTCTCATAGATTATGTGTCCTCTCTGTCTCCGTGCTTCATACTCTTCTTGACTCAGATACTCTGAGGAGGTAAAAAGGAATGGGAAAGAAAGGGCCATATAAATGTAGGAATTTTGTACAAAAGGGGCCTGTATTAATGGGACACATAAAAATGTAAGTAGGCCAAGGAATGCATGAGGGACCTTCCCAGATGGGACAATATCCAGTGTAGTTATAACCTAGGAGAGAGTATTATACACACAGCTTCAGGCAGAGCTTTAAGTAGTCTGGAGTGATGAGGTCTTTGCCTCAGAGATCCCACAACCCACTTCACATTTTGATCCTCCTCTGGACCACTCCTGGGTTGCTACTCCCAACTGCTCTGTTGTGTGTCTCTCCTTAGCCTTACCTACTGCCCAATCCCCACTCCAAATCTTGTGAGGGCATTGGGGGGAATTCCCTGAAGGAAAAGTCCACATTGCCTTGACTGAACCAGTTCTGCAGATGCAAAATTTCCTCTTTGTGACTGAGTTTATCCCTCAGGGAAGAGTCTGTTCACAGAAAGCTCCTCAGTTTGCAAAGATCTTTCTCTCCATATGCCACTTTCATAAATTGGGCTCTGCTCCAAGATAGGAAATAGCCTGAAGCTTGATACCACAGAGCTGTGAATGCTAAATTATCTATACAAGTGGAGGAGAGCAGAAGTACAAATAATCTCAAGTAACAAATAATGCAAAAATAATTTCCACTTGACTTTGAAATGAATTTTAGCCAGATGGGAGGAACGTGGAATAGTTGTAGAGGTACTGCCATCATTATGCTTTGTTTAAGATGAGTCTTCTCTTCATTCTATTGCTGTAGCCTGGAGAACTTTGTGGACCTGGCATCTAGTGTGTTAGCCACCCCTTCCAGCTTTGCTGCTAGGTGGCATTGTCGATAGAATGCCAGGCCTTGAATCAGGAAGACACATCTTCCTGAGCTCAAATCTAGCTGCATGACCCTGGGCAAGTCATTTGACTCTGTTTGCTTCAGTTTCCTCATCTGTAAAATGAGTTGGAGAAGGAAATGGGAAACCACTCCACTGTCTCTGCTGAGAAAACCCTGAATGGGATCAAAGAGTTGGACACCACTAAGATGACTGATCAATAACAACCTAGTTTCACATCATCTGCAAATTTGAAAAGCATCCATGCCTTTATCCAAGTCATTGAGAAAAATGTTAAACGGCACAGGGTCAAGAACAGATCTCCAAGGCACTCCAGTGGATACCTCCTGTCAAGTTGACATGGGACCATTAACAACTAATACATCATTCCTCCGATCTATTATTTTAACAATCCTGTCCAAAAAGGAAATAAGGGTAGTCTTCTCTATTCTTGACCCAAAATTAAATGGGCATTTTAGTATGACATGGCAAACCACTAGTGGTCCTTTGATATTCCCCCACTATTAACAGCAGGTTGGTGGGGTGGGGCATGATGAAGGTGTTGTGTTAGTTAAAAGAAGAGACAGCTTCCTGTTCCTTGCTTCAACTCTCCCATGTGGCAAGTAGAGCTCTGTGTCTGGTTCCCTTTTCAACATGCACTGAGTAATCCGCTGTTCCAGCCCAGCAGCCAATAAAGCTACTCTTTATCATTTAAAAGTACAAAGTTTTCAACTCTGAGGCATATATGGCCAGAAGCAGGCCCCAAAGCCCTCACATGTTTGAGCTAGAAAATAGAAGGGCAATTGTGGCCATGGTCCGTGGGATAGCACCAATTATACATGTAACTGGCTTCCATACTCCAAGTGACATCATGTAAACATGAGACTTCCAGTGAGGGGCTGGGTAAGGATTGGCCTTCTCTACCCCAGCAGCATGCTGACCTTGGTAATGTGGTAGCTTCTGCAGGCGTTTCAAGTAGCTGAACTTGCTCCTACTGTATCCCTGGCTACTTTTTTTCTCTTTTACCATTTGTTGATCCCTTCTCATGGCAATGACTACAGCATATACTGTTGTGTACAGATCTTGACATGTTTTTATCTTTTCTGCCAAATGTTGTGGGAGAATGCTATGGTTGATAACCAGATTTTTAAAAATTACTCTGTTTTGGTATGATCAGTCTATTAATTTGATTTGTATCATTACACTCAAAAAGGGCTTTTGAAATTCCAGTGTAAGTGCACTCCTCTCCTTTTCAAAATCATTCCAAACATCAATGTTATTTTTGCCATCTGTTTCGTTATTGGGTAATATTTCTAAGGTTTGTGTTAAATATAGAGTTTCAATGCCTTCAGGTTCTTTTGTTTTTTCTTCTTTAGATTAGTAATAACATTTCCTCCTATATTTTCACCTAGTTCTTTTAATTAATATATAAATCTTTAATTTTAATTTAATTTAATAAGAGTTATTATGATTTTGGGGGCAGCTAGGTGTCACAGTGGATAGAGTACCAGCCCTGGAGTCAGGAGGACCTGAATTCAAATCTGGTCTCAGATCTTGACATTTACTAGCTGTGTGACCCTGGGTAAGTCACTTAACCCCAATTGCCTCGCCAAAAAAAAAAAAAGAGTTATTATGGTTTTTGTACATCATCATAGTTTCCCCAACTATCTTTCTCCCTCTTCCTCCCATAGACCTATACTCCAAAGAGTATTTTTATAAGGACAAAAACAAGGGGGGAAAGGGGGAAAAGCAGCATAACTAATCAATACATCAAAAAAATGAAAGTATAAGTAAAATTTAACACTTGTGGACCTCCCACCTCTGCCAAGGGGCAAGGTAGGAGCGTTTTCCCACATCTCTTTCAAAATCTGTTCATTCTTTATAATTTTACAACAATCACTTCTGATTTGTGTATATACATAAGTACACGTGCATGTGTATGTGTGTATGTGTGTGTGGTTGTTCTTTCCATTTACATTGTCATATTGTGGGTATTGTTTTCTTCTGTTAACTTCCCTCTGCATCAGTTCATGTGGATCTTCCCATGCTTCTCAGCATTCATCACACTCTTTATTTTTTATACCACAGTAATATTCCATTACATTCATGTACTACTGTTTGTTTAGCTATTCCCCTGTCGATGGGCATTTCTTTGTTTCCAATTCTTTACTATCACAAAAAGTGCTGATATTTTGCTATATTTCTATGGGAACTTTCTTCTTATCAGTGGCCTCCTTGGGGTATGACTAGTATTGGACATTTTGACTCAAAGGGTACAGATATTTTAGTCACTTTATTTGCATCATTCCAAACTGAAGCTAAGGATATTTGTTAACAAAGAGAGAACATGATGTCCCATTTGCTTTTCATGTAATATTGACACATAACAAAAACATTCATACCTTCATGTTTCATGTGCCCTTGTGGTTTGTCCACTTTAGTGGTCAATAAAATCTGCATTGAAGCATTATTGATATTTCTGATTCATTTAAATGTATTTTGCCTTCTTGGGATACCAAAACATGGAGGGCTACTCACTTTGCTGTCCTCTGTGTCAAACTAATCACTACAAGGTGATTTTGAGGATGGTCGGCACACAATTATATGCTTTCCCCTCTATTTCTTAAATTCATAGGACCACTTGCATCCCAGTGGCTGGGGTGATAACCCAATCAGTAGTACTACCTGAGCCAATGGAGTAGCTGACATTCCAGGCTCCTGTCAAGCTTTCATTGCTACCAAAGTGGTCTTAGGGTACACAAAATCTTCATGGTACATCACCCTGGCTTCTTTTATACTTTCCCCCCACCAATTACTGGTCATGGGAAGGGCTAAACAAATCTCTTGTGCTGATTTCTATTTCTGGACTCTCTATCTACCACCAGCACTCAGCAACCTCTCCTTCTTTATCATCCAATTCAAATTCCAGTGTCTATCTGACGTTCTCCCACCTTTCTTAATGAGTCCAGTTCTTGGCTTGTAATCTCACTCCTCCTCTCCTGTCATGTCCTACCCTTATACTAGGGGACTTTAGCAAACATGCCAATGTTCTTTCAAACACCCTAACCCTTCCCCCACCCCCAGGTCCTCAGTCTGCTCATTTCACATGACTTACTTCTCCACTCCCACCTCACTTACACAAAAAGATGGTGATTTTGTCATCACTTACAAGTGTTCCACTTCCATGAACAAGAATTCTGAAATTCTTTTTACCTAATCACAGTCTCCTATCATTCCTTCTCTTCCTATTCCTTACTTCTCCCAAAAACTATTCTTTGTCCTCATTATGCCCTCCAATCTCTATGTCCCTCAGTACTTTCCCAGGCCATCACCCTTGCTCTGGCTATACTTCCTTCCTTCACAAATTCAATCCTTTAATGATCCAGTTCAACTCTATGCAATTCAAGCCTTTTGAATCCATTGTTCTCTTGTCCTATTGCTGCTCACATCTTACCAAATCCTAACCGTGAAGTATTCTTATCACCTGCCTTCTTCACCCATATTTGCATATTAATGAAGGGAATTGAGAAAAATAGTGCAGCTGTGGTGGTTGGGTCCACAACAAATTTGTTATCTAATCTCAAGTGGCCCTCATTGTGGTAAGGCAAATCATTTATTCCTCCTTAATTGATTCTCTGTCCTACTCACCCCATGGCAATTCCAAACCTCTTCTCTTCTTGAGTATCCCGTAGTACTCCCCTGCTCACTCAGTCAAGGGCCTTACCTCATACTTCACAGAGAAAATTAAGGCCATTTTCCATGAGATCTTTCTTCCCCCTCTCTCCTCATCATGCATCTCCTGCCATCATGCTCCACAATCTCCTTCTTTACTGCAATCCCTAAAGAAGATGTGAATTTTTTCCCAACCAAAGCCAATGCTACTACATATATTTCTGCTTCCACTGCCTCCCATCTTCTCCAGTATATTGCCCCTACTATGACCTCTCCCTCTGATCTTCAAGCTTTCCTTATCTACTGTTTCCTTTCTTGCTGTCTACAAACAATACCATTTCTTCCCCATCCTTAAAAAACCTTTATGGGATGCTACTAACCTCATTACTTTCCTTTATCTCTTCTTCCTTTCATATCTAAACTCCTTGAAAAAACTATCTACATTTAGAGTCACACATTCTATGATCTAGTCATACTGTCTTACTTCCTGTTTCTCACACTCAGTACTCCATCTATTATCATCTATGATTATCATCTGTTCCAATATACATCTCCTCCCCTATTCCTGGAATGCTCTTCCTCAACTTTGCCTCTTAGAATCTCTGGATTTCTTTGAGGCTCAGCTGAAGGGTAACCTCCGCAGGAGGCCTTTTCCATTCCCTCCAGATGCAAATAACTTGCTTTCTAAAATTATCATCTATCTATTTTGCATATATTGTGTATAAAACTATATGGGTGCATTGTGTCTCCCCTGTTGGAATGTAAGCTCTTTAAAAGCAGGGATGATTTCATTTTTGTCTTTGTATTCCTAGTGTCTAGCATATAGCAGGTGCTTAATAAAGGCTTGTTGACTAGTTAATTGATTGATTGATTAATTGGCAGGTATCTGTCTAATCCTATTCAGAAGTAGGACTTCCCCAATTAGACATGTATTCACTGGCCCCTTGTAACATGTATTTTCTTCACATTAGAGAGGCACTGAGGTAGCAACAGTGGCCTAAATCCCAGGAAATTATATTTGGCACTGCCCTGTCACCTAGCTAAGAAGGCAGATGCTAAGAAGGGGGACATACCTATTGGACATTTCTCAAAGTCCTTGAGAAGGTTCAGCTTCTCGCTCAGGATTCTCCCAACCACCGTAGGCACAAAGAGCACAGGTCGAGGCTTGATTGGTCTGTAGGGTTTTACCAGTGTGTAAGGCACTAGTGTAAAACAGCTCTCTGCCCAAAAACATACCAGAGATGAATCTGTGTAAGGAAAAAATAGTGGGTAAAACTGGTCCCCAAGACTCCATCATCCCTCCCCAAAGCTTTTCTCATCTTAATCCTGTTTTCCAGTTTCTTTAGTTAACTCTATTATTCTGTTTTTCATGGTCCTCTCTATGACACAGAGTTGGTCACAGGGGAATGGTGCCTCCATGATAAGATTTACTTTTGGTAATGATCCCTTGCTTACCCTAGAGCCACCCTCCCCGGGCCTCCCTCTGCCATTGATGAACCCTGGCCACACCTTCCAACTTGCTGGGCTCAGCCTGGCTCCCATCAAAGGAGGAACACAGTGGGTTGGCCTTGGTCTTGTCCATGCTGACTATGCGCACTAATTTCTGTTGTCCTCCAGATGACTGCAAAAGTGGTGAGTGGGAGAGAAAGAAAAGGAAGAGAGGGAGGTTAAAGTTCCAGAGAGTTGAGGGGTCCCAAAGTTTTGTCTCTAGAAAACCTACGAGGAGAGTAAAGGCCAACCTTCCACTGAATTAGTTTCCTGTGTTCCCCTCCCTCCCCATCCCACAGGTCACCTGAAAGTCTCCACACTATCACGGGGTGGGTATAAGGATAGGAGTACGAGGATCTACAGGAAAAGGGCTTCAAAGAGAGGTGGCAGGAGGGAAGCCTCACAGGTTGACTGCCTCCAATCCAATCCAACAAACATTTAAAAAGTGCCTTCTAGGTACAAAGCATTGTGTTAGGTGCTAGTGATGCAAAAATAGAATAAAAAAACAGTCCTTCCCCTCAAAGAGCTTATGTATAGATTTGGAAGGGTTGAGAGAGAAAAAACAAAAACAAATGAAATAAAAATAGAGTGGAAGAGTAGCTAGAGAATGGTGAACTGAGGGCAAACAAAACCAGGAAATGATAGCATTAAAGACTGTGTTATATGCAGATGCATTGAGTTGAGTCAGTGAATAATGTTTGTATATCTATGCAGGTAGTCACTGTCAGGACTCAGGAGACCAGCTCTGGAACCAGAAAATAACAGCTATGAAAAGATACAGAAGGGCAGAGTGTAGGAGCTTACATAAACCGTCATTTAGGATGGCAATTTTATCCTCTTCACATAAAGGCTATGCTACAGAAAGCTCCAAGCTCCACCCTAGGAACCCACTTAAAGGGAAAATATTGTGGGTCTGATTTTTGCCTCCACCACTCCAGTACCCCATTTCAGATTAGATCAGCAAATGGATCAGGAGCAGAATAACTGTAGGACAAGAGGAAAGGGCCCCAAGGGAAAGTTGGGCCTTGTGTCCCAAATCTGTACCTATAGATTTTTTTTGCCACCTGGGAACAGGGACAGCCAAAGTTAGCTTAAATGTTCTTGACCCTCTGGCTTTCCTCACCTTACGGGTGACTGTGCTCTGCTGAGTCATGTCCTGGATGAGGGTGATGAGTTGCTGCTGAGCCCTGCCACAAAAACGGAAGAGAGTGAGTTGGTGACTGGTCCATCAGGAACTCTGGTGTTGTTGTAACCACTCTCAATGGGGAGCTGTAAAAAGAACCTGTTGAGGGAAAAAGACTGGCACATAAGAGGATGGGGTATTATCCAGTCTACTCTAAAACATAGTGAGGTATAGCACACCCCTGTGTAGCAGGAGTTACATGTCATTTAGCATGCATGGGAGTGGGCTTATAAAGACCATAACATGGATAATGTGTAGGAGCTCCCCTGGCAACTTTCAGGGACATGTGTGGCTTAAAGAGCTTGGCGTTTGGAAATGATGAACAATTCCCTTATTGTTCACTGAGTAAGAAAAACCATTGACTCAGAGGACCTTTAATAAGGCACGATCCTGACCTCAGTCCCCTTCTCTCTTCCAACATGCTGAGTGGATCAGTACTACGCTATCCCTACCCCTGAGGAATAGCAACTACTCCTGTGTGGTGACTGATTTGGTAGGTGAGCTAAGTGAGCTTGAACCTGGTCTCTGGCTGCCTTTTCCGCTCTATCTTTTTATCTCCTTTTTCTTTCCTCAGCTGAATTAGGTGACTGACTAGTGATGTTGAGATGAACATTTCCAGCCTAGTGAGTTCAATAAGTTGGAGCTCCTGGGTCCCTCAGTCAGAGTTGTCAGGTAGCAAGTGAATATTCTGTAACTCTGGTGTTTTTTGGAGAAGATGATCACCAGCAGGAATATGAGCCCAATGCCTGGTCAGGATTTACATAAAACAGAGACCTGGATAGAATTGTTTGGACCGCACAAAGCTGAGGTGAAATTTAAAATAACTATTTAGCAATGCTGCAGACTACTTCATGTCTTGATAGTTTTCCTCAGGGTTGTAAAGAGCTAGACACAACAAGACAAAAGAACCTGACTCTCTTCAGAGGGCAGGATCTATCCAAGGGCTGAGGTGCTCATCCTCTTCCTCTTCACTTCTTATATCTGGCTCTATACGACCCCACTTTGGAGCCCCAGGAAATATTACTTAAAGCTTAAGTTCACCTCTTGTCTTGGGCTTCCCCAAAATGGGGAGTAGAAAGGTATTCAGTGTTCAGTATGTATCAAGTATAGTACAGCTATTTATTTCCTCTACACAAAAGAAATGCTTAATACACACAAGACATACAAGCCTGCATCAACATAAAAAAATTAAACAGGCAGTAGCAGTCCAACAACTACTGCTGTACTCTCTAGGGAGGTTACTTAAAATTATCAGGATGTGAAACAATTTGTGGGATTGCTAAATCATCACTTCAGATTTCATAGGGGCTTTTCACCATCCAAATAATTCCCTACAGGTTTGTGTTTTCTAGCAAACCAGACCAAGTACAGGGCCCATCCTCTTGCTAGTGGTCATGTTTTCCAAAAAGTACTGGAGTGCAGAACACTTACCTGCTGCCACACAGCCCTGACTGAAGGACTCAGGAGCTCCAATTTCTTGAACTCACTAGGCTATCTCCAACACTGGGAATGTCCATCTTGGAATCACTGTCTGGTTACTTATTTCAGTTTGGGAAAGAAACATAAAGCAAAAAAAGACAGCTAAAAGTCTAGGTTCAAGATTATTTAAATGAGCCACTGTTCTAGATGCTGCATGGGAGCAGTTGACATGCTTCAGGAGTGGGGGTAGAGGGAAGGGCCCTGATCCTGTTTTCAGCCTTCCAGAGAGAGGCTCAAATAGTACTGATTCACTCAGCAGATTGAAAGAGAGAAAGGGACTGAGGATCATGCCTTATTAAAGGTCTACTGAGTCAGTGGCTTTTCTTAGTGGACAAGAAGGGAATTGTTCATCATTTCAAAGTGCCAAGCCTTTTAAACCACTCATTTTCCTGGAAATTGTCAGTAGAGATTTTGCACCTAGTCTAGCCCCTATAGGTCCATCCCCATTCATATTCCATGGGTTGCAACCCTTGCTATAAATGTATACAGCATTAAAAGTCTCATGGTCCACTGCTTCAGAAAATTGCTGTTTCTTGTTCTAGAACAGACATACGGCATTGTAGTGTTTGACCTTTTACTTGAGTATCCTTAAACATAGTAATATAGAGTGATTTTAGTTTAGAAATGCATTCTCAACAGAATCTATTATGATTCTATTATGACAGATCTTTCTATGTGAAAGACTCATAAGAATTCAACAACAAAAATCATGAAATGTCTCCTGTTAGCCTACTAGCTGCTAGGGAAGATACAGAATTTATATCTGCCCTGACATTATGGAACTGAAGGCTATAGAAGCTTACAATACATACACAAATAATTATACTATACAATAATATAGGATAAATGCATTACAAAGGTGCCCCAAAAAGTACCCTGTGAGGTCTAAGGGAGAAAGTTATTACTAACAGGTACTTATAGGTAACAAGTCTAACAAAAAATCCTTTATGGAGAAAGTTGTTTTAATCCTTTGTGATAATTCATCACTCCTCATTAGCTTATAGCCTAGAGTTAGCTAGACTATGATAGGAAAGGGAAACCTTGTATCATCCTAAAGAGACCTTGGTGTGTAACATAGCACATTCTGGGCAAAGTTATGCAAAATTAAGCCCAGAAAATACTCTTCAGGGATGCACCACACTTATGCCATTCTCCTGAACTGATATAGTAGGCAGCCAATCAATTTTTATTGAATGAATGAATGAATGAGTGGCACATACTTTTGGACAAGCAACTCACTGTGAGTAGTTGGGGATGGTGCCATGATCTGTGTCCTTCATGCTATACAAATGGACTCGATGGGCATGCCAACAACTTTGGCCTTGGTACATGGTGTCAGTGACATGCAGGATGTCATTACACTGCACCTGTAGCTCTCCACCTGCTTTTCCCTCCATGGCCAAGTTGACCCGGATATAGAATGAATCCCCAGAAGTGGTCACTTTGTTTTCTATGTCCTGGACCAGTTTCTTGTAACCTGGCAATAATGGTAAGAGAAGAAAGAACAATAAAAATGTGAAAGAGCAGTGACACTGTAGACTGGAGGCTAGAGATGCTAGAGAAACTGAAGAGAACTCAACACTCCAGAGAAAAAGATGGTTATAGTTGTTTTCCTTTGTGCTCAGAGAGGACCAAAATGTGTCTGACTGTGATTGATCAGACCAAGATGAGCTCAGAAGGCTCTACCACAGGTCAGTCACAAATAGTCCATGTGATCATTTGGAGTGGGGATGTTTCTAAACTTGAGCATCTCACATAATCATAGTATGAATCATAGCTTTAGGGATAGAAAGGACCATAGAGACTGTATAGTCCAAACCCTTCATTTTTCAGATAACAAAAGTGAGGTACAGAGAAATTAAATGACTTGCCCAGTCACACATTTAGTATCAGAGGTGGGTTTTGAACCAAAGTCCTTTCATTCTAGAACCAATATTCTTTCTCCTGTTCATTAGAGTTGGGATCAGTAGAAGGATTTCTACTGAAATGGGCAGCTAGGTGCCACATTGGATAGAGTGGTGAGCCTGGAGTCGGGAAGTCCTGAGTTCAAATTTGGTCTCAGATACTTACTAGCTGTGTGACCCTAAGTCACTTAACTCTGTTTGCCTCAGTTTCCTCATCTATAAAATGTGCTGGAGAAGGAAGTGGCCAACCACTCCAGTATTTTCACCAAGAGAACCCCAAAAGGGGTCCCAAAGAATTGGACATAGCTGAAAAAGACTAAACAATAGAAAAAGGATTTCTAGCAACCTTGATTGCCTATGTGGACTAAATCTTGGCATGCTCTAAATTCTGTTTCTGACTCTAAAGTTGAGTGGGGAGTAGTGAGTGTGCAATGACCAAAGGAACAGAATCTTATGAAGAATAATATCTGGAAGGTAAAGGGTAGGAAATAGGAGTGTGGTAAAACTTTGGGAGGGAAATAAGGGATTGAAAGGAATATATACCCTCCATGTTGACCTTCACAGATAGGCAGCAGAAGCCATTCACCCTCTTGAGAAGCCCTATTGCCTGCTCCAGGGTTGTGTCCTCCAGAATAGCCTTGAATGTGATCTCCTTCGAGTCATAATCCACCTATGGATGAAGCCAGCAACACTTAACCTAAGAAGACAGCTCAAGTGTGCAAGAGAATTTACTAAATGTAATTCAGCAAATATCTAAGTGCCTACTATGTGTGAGGTTTTGCACTATTAACCATTACTAGTACAAAAATGAAAGGTGTTTTGTTGCTATTGTTGTCCTCTAAGGGTCCTTTGATGTTGGCTTCTACCAACTCCCTGATTCAGGGGTGATTCAGAGATGATGGCCTGTTAAAAAAAGGCAGCCTGTCTGCCCAGCTGTTCACACATCCTTAGCCATAGCAGAACTCAAACATGAACCATACCTTTGTTATGCTCTTCGCAGGGTAAGAAATAGCAGGGGCCTAAGACTTCTGACTGCAATCATTCTCGAGTCTCTAACACAAGCATGTCCAAGAGAACAGTGAAGAGCTTAGATGCTATTTTCAATAACACTACTGCTGTTGACTTTGTGACTCAGAGCCATCATCACTCAAACTCATTGGCATTCTATAAAACCAGAAACTCAGGCAGTTCACAGGACAACCCACACACTGCAGTTTCCAAAGGAAAAAACAGGCATGTCCAGAGAAAGATGCTAAAGAACGATAGACCCCTGGAGCCATATTGCTCTGTCACCTAAAGGTCTCATTAGGCCCCTCTCTTGCTTTTCTTCTCAAATAACTAGCTGTCAATTTCAGCATAATGGACCATCCTTTAGCAAACACCAGTCCAGTGCTTTTATCTACTGCCTGCAGAATAGGAGAAAAGCTGATATCCTTCTATAGACCACTAGAAACAGCTGCTATCTTCTAACCTCATAGTTTAATTGCCCTGTCTCAATGGTTATAGTAATGAGAGAAAGGGCAAAATGGAGGCAATGATGAAATTCATTTCATCTGAAATTTTAGGATAAAGGACCAAGACTGGTAGAAGTATATCTATCAGGGACAGGGGATAACTCTGTTCTTCATTCAGACCCTTGGCAGCAACTTAGCTGCTCCAGTATAAAACTAGCTATTCTTCCTGATGTGACAAAATCCAACTTCCTTGCCATTATTTTCAAAGCAAAGCTAACCCCTGCCACAGCTTGTCCCACAGCTGTCTCCCATTCCAGCCTTACTTAATTCAAAAATCTCTCAGACTCACAGTGTTCATCAGAAGAAGTAACAGAAATGGAAGTAAGTAATAATCTATACGGGCAGCTAGGTGACCCAGTGGATAGAGTACTGAGCCTGGAGTCAGGAAGACCTGAGTTCAAATAGGGCCTCAGGTCTGTGTGACCCTGGGCAAGTTACTTAACACTGTTTGTTTGCTTCCTCATTTGTAAAAATGGGCAAAGGAAATGGCAAGCCACTCCAGTATTTTTGCCAAGAAGACCCCAAATAGGGTCAAGAAGTGTCAGACATGATTAAACAACAACAAAACTAATCTATGCACGGATGTCTTTAAACATAAATTTTATAATTCAATTATAACTTCTCTTTCAACGGGAACCCACCTCTGTAAGTCTGAAGAAAGACAAATAGGCGCACGCTCGCGCACACACACACACACACACACACACACACACACACGCAGAGGGAATGTGCCAATCAGAAAATAGCATGCTAACAATTCAAGTATTGTGGAAACACAATCAGGATAACACAGGATTTAGCAGCTTCTACATTAAGGGACCAGAGGGCTTGGAATATGATATTCTGGAGGGCAAAGGAGATAGGATTACAGCCAAGAATCACCTACCCAGCAAAACTGAGTATAATCCTCAGGGGGGGGGAGAGAGGGGAAATGCGTATTCAGTGAAATAAAGGACTTTAAAGCATTCTTGATGAAAAGACCAAGAGCTGAATAGAAAATCGACTTCCAAATACAAGACTCAAGAGAAGCATGAAGAGGTAAACAGGAAAGAGAAATCATAAGGGACTTATTAAGGTTGAACTGTTTAAATTCCTACATGGAAAGATGATATTTGTAATTCATGAGACCTTTGTTAGTATTAGGGCAGTTGGAGGGGAAAAATTAAATGTATAGATAGATTGATAGATAGAGGGCATAGGGTGAGTTGAAGACGAATGGGTGATATCTGGAGAATAAAATTAAGTGGTGAGATAGGATAATACTAGGAAAAGGAGAAAGGGAGAGGTAGAATGGGGTAAATTATCTCACATAAAACAGACAAGAAAAGGCTTTTACAGTGGAGGGGAAGTAGGGGAAGGTGAGAGGGAATGAGTGAATCTTATTCTCATTGGATTTGGCTTAAGGAGGGAATAACATATACGCTCAACTGGGTATGGAAAGGTATCTTACCCTACAGGAAAATAGGAGGGAAGGGGATAAGAGAGCAGGGGGGGAGATGATAGAGGGGAGAGCAGATTGGGGGAGGGGGTAATCAGAAGCAAACACTTCTGAGGAGGGACAGGGTCAAAAGAGAGAATAGAATAAATGGGGGGGGATAGGATGAAGGGAAATATAGTTAGTTTTTCACAATGACTACTATGGAAGTGTTTTGCATGACTACACATATACCATACAATAACCTGTATCGAGTTGCTTGCCTCCTCAACGGGGGTGGTTGGGTAGGGAGGGAGGCAGAAAATTTGGAACCCAAAGTTTTAAAAACAAATGTTTAAAAATTGTTTTCACATGCAACTGGGAAATAAAATATACAGGCAATGCGGTATAGAAATCTATCCTGCCCTGTGGGAAAATAGAAGAGGAAGTGGATGGGGGGGGGAGATAGAAGGGAGGGCAGATTAGGGGAAAAGGTATTCAGAATGCACACTGTCTTGGGGTTGGGTGAGGGACGAGATGGGGAGAAAATATGGAACTCAAAATCTTGTGGAAGTGAATGTTGAAAACTAGAAATAAATAAATTAATGGACAAAAAAAAAGTTCCATGAAAAAAGAAAATAGCGTGCTCCTTCTTCCCCACTCAGATCTTTTATAGAAAAAGAGGAAGATCCTAATGCTTAGAAAGCACCAAAAACTTCTAAATCAGCAACCACTTGGGAAGGAACAGCTTGAGACTTCATACAAGAAATAAGTATGTCCAACAGCAGAGGAGAGGTGTCATGTAAAGGAGTAGAGGAGTGAGGCTGAGCATGGAACAAAGTGAGTAGATGACACAGATTGCTGGTACTACAATGAGGGATGCCCCATGGGGTTCTTGACAACAACCAGATCCATACAGAACCATCAGAGACCTAGGGGACACCAAAGCACACAGATCCAAGGAAGAAGAGCATGAGTGCCAGAGAATAGACTAAACTGGTCATGAGACCCAGGATGACAGCTTAAGAGGCAGAGGAAAGAGCTCTTCTGATTGCTTTGTTAAGGATTTTCTGTTCATCATCATCTCTTAAATAAACTTGTCTTATGTTCAAGTTCCTTATTAACTCAATGTCTGCAGAAGACCCGAAAGGGCCCTTTCAGAGAAATATTCTTATGTTCCCAGGAGAAACGCAGGAGGAGATGAAATGAGCCATAGAAATTATTATTCAAAAGAGGATCCCAAGATTGAACCTGATCCATAAGGACAGCCTCACACTAGCATTACACACTTGATGTACTCTCTATATAAATCTACATATGCCCATATGCCTAGCTATTTAGATAGCTAGATAGGCAAGTAGATTGACAGATATAAAACCAAATAAAAGAGACTTAAATATTATCTAATGTTTTGGGTTATCTACAGTACTATTTCCTCTCCATACATCAGAAAATCAGGTTATTCACACAGCCAGAGATCAGATGACAGACATACATACCATCATGATCTGGGTGCCAGAACGCAAAGCCATCTCATCTGCTGTAGAGCCGGTGGTGACACGGTGAATGAAGATGCCTGTGTGATTTCCACCAATGATGCTGATTTGATCCAACAAGGAGTCACCCTGGAAGGCCAGGGCTGTTACCTGACTCAGGATCTTCCGGGCAGGACGTCGACGCACTAGAACATTGCTGAATGAAAAAAAAAAAAGGATTTTTCTTCCTTGGTACAAGCCCTGCCTAGATGCAAATCAAGTTGGTCTCTTCAGGGGCCTGCTGGCTTTAGGATTCTGCAATTTCTACCTCCAGTGACCTACCAGGTAGCCTGAAATACAAGCCTGCCTTAAAGAGTCTATCATCTCACTTGCCCTACCTATATAGAGAATACAATCGGGAGTTCTTCCCTTTATCCTGCCTCCTCAACTCCATGACAATAAGAGTCCTAGAAACTCACCTTTCTGGGGGGCAGGGACTTGGGGGAAATACCTTTGGGACACTCTCCATTCCAGGAAGACCTACTAAGAAATATAGAACAAGTGAATAAAGACCAGACTAGACCAAGATGGAGACAATCATACCTGAAAAAAGATCATAGGATTATATAACTAACATTGGATGGGACCCCAGAGTCCAACTCCACCAAGTCCTCTTTTCTGTCTTCTGTAGCTCACCCAATCTGCCTTCTCCCATAGGATGCCAAAACACTAGGAAGAACTTCTTATGGCTTAGAACAACTGCTGATCCATACCACCCTGGAGAAATGAAAATGGTGCAGGTCCTTCCCCTGTCTCCCTAAGACATTGGACAACGTGGCCAGGAAGCCAAAAGAAATGAGTTCTAATCCCAGTCATACCACTAACCAGCTTTGTTATTTTGATTAAATCACTTAGCCTATTTATATCTCTATTTCCTCTCCTGTAAAATGGGCTTAATGATGTTTAAGGAACCTCCTAGCTTTAAAATTCAGTGATCTATGGTTTTCTCACAAAGCTTCTAGCATCCTTAAAAGTCCAGTTTCTCTGGTCAATGGGGCTTACTAATTTGATGGTGCACTAGCACCACCTCGTGGCCATAAGGATGAATCCCTGATAGGCAGGTGCTGGGGAAGAATACCAGAAATGTGATGATCTTTCCACCTCACAGCAGTTATACCTTGGTTGGCCTTAGACAGTGGTGTGCTGTTAAATATTTAACAATCATCTCCCTAACTCCCTTGTCCCCAATACAATCAAGAAATATGTACTATTAAAGTTTAATCTGCACTATTAACATTTTCTCCACTGATTTCTTGAATATAGACAGTCAATTAAATAATAAATTAAGTCCTGATTGGAGCATTTGCTGATTTCTAAGGTGTAAATGCTCACACTGAAAATTTAACAATTGGTTGTCTGTCTCTGGTAGGAGTGGAATTCAGCACACCACTGCCCTTAGATCATTAGAGGAAACTATCATGCTGTCTTACACGTTACCCTTTAAATCACAGGGGTGCTATAGGGGTCATAGGATCTGAGAAGGGACCACAAGCCATAAGATTAGTCCAACACACTCATTTTGCAAATGAGAAAGCTGAGACCCAGAGATTGTGACTTACCCAAGGCCACATAGGCGACTGAGTTGAGATTTGAACTCATGTCTGCTACTGTCAAGTTCAGCCCTTCAAGCTAAATACTCTCTCCAGGCCTCCTAATGATACTGTGTGCAAACTACCATAGAAATGTAAACAATTATTATTATGTCTTATGTCCTGAATTTCCCATGTCCTGCTGAGGACTCAAGCTTATTGCCCTCCTTCAAAGAGCGGAAGGACAAGTTTTTCCAGAGCCAGAGAGAAGATATCAGTGGCACAGAATGCTAGAACCAAAGGGAACCTCAGAAACTATGTAGCCACATAGCCAAACCCTTCACTTTACAGATGAGGAAGCTGTGGGCTAGAAATGGGAAGTAACTCACCAAAGTCACATGGTTGGTAATTGGTAGGGTCGGGGTTTAAATCAAGATTGTCTGACTCCAGTTTATTTCAGGGACAGAAACAGAGACAAAGAGAATAGAACTTGTGCTATCTGTGTACAGATTTCTCAGCCTGCCAGTGAAGAGAAAGAAAGAAAGAGAGAGAAAGGAAGGAAGAGAAAGGAAGGAAGGAAGGAGGGAAGGAAGGAAGGAAGGAAGGAAGGAAGGAAGGAAGGAAGGAAGGAAGGAAGGAAGGAAGGAAGGAAGGAAGGAAGGAAGGAAGGAAGGAAGAAAGAAAGAAAAGAAAAGAAAAAGAAAGGCCAGTAAACAGAATCATACTACATGAAAATGAATTTTAACATAGATGACATACCAGAAGTACTGCAATGGAAAGAGTGCTGGGTTTGGAGTCAGGGGGCTTGAATTCAAATCCCAACTTTGCTACTTACTATCTGTTTGACTTTGGGCAAATCACTTAGAGTCACTCCTAGATTGAAATCTTTGCTACTGTGATTTAAGTTAAACTCTTCTAGGTCAAGGGTGGGGAGGGCAGCCACAGGGACCATGTCCCTGAAAGTCCCTTCTCATTACTCTCTTAATCCAAAAATGATCTGGCATCATGGGAAATTGCCTGGCTAACTGGGGGAGATTATCCAACAATGGTTTTACCTACCTCCCATGTCTACCACCTCATAGTCCAGTTCTATGTCATCTATCTTCTCTCCTGAAGAGATGCCAAAATCTTTATGGAGAAACTCCTGGGAGCTGCTACAGAGAAAAAGGAATTGGGATTTCAGAGTACTTCTCCCCAAACCAGAGAGGTTTATTATTATCATTATCATCATTATTATTATCATCTACACAACATGAAAGGTTTTCAAACTATAGAGATCTAACAGAGGTAGTCAAAATAATGTGCTAACAGTATGAGTTACATATCATCCCTGTGATCCTGCCTTCTACCATAGAGGTCCCAAAGATGCTTTCAGTGAGTCTATAGAAGATGAGTTTATGTCTATATATTTTGATTTAGTTACAAAAACATCACTATTTTGTCCACTTTATAACTGTCCAAACAACATTAAATATAAAAGAATAATAGAAAGACAGTGACTTGTTCCAGAAGCATTTCTAGCTGAAGTCCATTGAAAAAGATAAGAATGGGATTACATTACATTTGTCTAATATTTTACAGCTTACAAAGTATTTTATTCACAACCCCGTGAGGTTGGTAGTCTCCCTCTGCACACTTTCTTGTAGCTGTGTTCCATCACACCTACAATCTGCCATAAACAACCCAAAAAAGACATGACATAGTGACCCCTAGCCTTCCTCAGCCACATACCTTAGAGAAATGGGGTCTTCCTGGAAGTCCTCAGTGACTCGCTTATGGAGAGATTGCTTGCAAGGAGGGACGGGGCTGCTGGAACAGAAGCTTCCCATCAGCCCCTGGTTTGAGGCAGCGCTCAGATCTGGCCAGTGCTACCCAGGTAAGCATGGCAGAGGGTAAAGATCAGTGGTGTCTCTGCACATGTCAAGAAATACTTACCTTCCTATTGCACATGTACTCAGGTTATACTTAAATATCAAATTACATTGATAGTCACATTTGTACTCATCTATGCTCAAGTAACAGCTACATTAGAAATTAAACCTGTCCTTGAATTGTGGATATCTCATGTACTCTGAGTTCTGTACATTTGCATATAGATGCACACATGCACTTAAGAACCACACACACAATATAAATATACCTTTCCCCAAACACCCTGTCTCTCAAGCAAGACCATGTAATGTCCTTCCTCCATTCTCCCCTCCCTCCTAGACCAAGATGAGGTAGAAGGAGGCTAAAGGACAGTTCTTTGGAAGGATGTTAACTTTAGTAGCAGTTTCATGTGCCCCAAACACAAGTACTGCCTCTCCTCACCCCTTGATAGGGTCTCACGGCAATGCTTTCCCTAATCCCTGTCTCTCTGAATTCCTGGACACCATTATAACCTAACAGAATTGGACTACCAAAGAAAGCAAATGTTTACCAGTGATACAGGAGGGGAAATCATTAGTGGCTTGAGGTCCTGTAAACTTCCCAGAAGCCTATTATTCCAAGCACTCACCTAAATTGTTTGGTGAAAATTATCCTACATTGTCCACCAATGAAGTCAGGGATGGATGGGCTTTTAATGCCCTCTAACTAGAAGCAAACTCAGTCTCTGAGAAAGCAGGAGAATGAGGGAGGATCCTAGTACCTCTGTGGAGCTTACACAGCTGAAGTCACTGTCCTCCTGAGGATTGATGGCGTGCATCCTTATGAGCCTCTGTTTCCCCCACTTTGAAGGTTCTCCAGCATTCTCTTTGGTCTGCCAAAGAATGGAATAGACAAGCTCATTGGTTTCAGGGTGTTTATCTTGGATGCTCTTGTACTTCTAGTCAAACTACCCCAAGCTGTTCTCTCACCCCCTTCCTGGAAACACCAGTTCTTTCTTCTCATATCCTGAGAGTCCTCCTTGGACACAATCAATGAGGCCCTGGCACATCCCCACCCCTGAGACAACCAGAGACTGGTTTGCAACTGGATTCCTAGATTTTATTTCCTTTGGGAGGGAGCGGGAAAGAATCAAAATCTTATGCTTTTCTCTAACCTAGCTCTTCTAGATCATGTGATAGAAATGGCACCTCAGATACAGACTAAAGTAGTAAATTATTCATCTATATGTGATTTGCATATAATTCACATGGTATTTATTATTAAAGGTCAAAATGGGAGCCATAGTTCAGATTGGAAAAATTATTTGTTGGACACACGTATCCAGCCTCAGATTTGGCTCTTCCCCATCCTCATCTTTCCCAAGCCAAGGTAAGTACAGTGACCTCCCTCCCTCTTAGCATTCCAACCCTCTTCCTGTTCCTCACCACAGGCACCGCCTTCCTTACCTCACTCATTGGTTCTGCCTGTACCTTTTGGAGTTGTTTTCGCAGTTCACAGACCTCTTCGGTTAGCTCAAACACTTTTCTTCGGAGGGAGTCTTTTTCTGTCAAGCTGTGCGAAATGTCCATCTGGGCCAGATCCCTTGCACTGTATGCCTATGGGAACCCAAGAGATCAGGCATCACCCAGAAGCAGCGTCCTCTGCCCATGGGGCAGGCATAGAAAAGACAGCTAAAGCTTGGAGCAACTCCATAGGAATTAATGGCTTTGTATAATAATTAATGGCCTTGGATATTCTGGAATTTAATTAATTTGTACCATCATTTGCATTTTGGAATCAAAGAACTTTTAACTCTAAGTCTAGAAGTTTAAAATAATTCAGTGCTACCTATTTCAGTTTCAATCAAATCACTTGAAATATGGAACAGATTTTCAACAAAATATTAAGGCATAAAGAAGGGCAGAGGAGTCAGGGTATAACAGTGGTTGATGGGAGAAAGAGCTTGAAAATACCCTCTTCCTTCCTGAGAAAAACTGTTCCATAGCTCCTTTGGGGGTGACTTCCTTTATCAGCTTCTCCAAATCAGGAGCAAGCTGGAGCCAAGATTAGAGTGGCAAGTTTTACAAAAGTGGGGGTACATTGGGTGGTCTCCCTCCCTCCATGTCCCCCAGGAAGAAAAGCAGTAAGCTAATTACATTTCTTTTTCTAGCCCATCTAGGTTCTAGAAATGAAACCAGATGAGCTGAAAACTGATGAATTCCAGTACAAACATTTTCTTTCATTCCCAGGGGATACCTGGTCTCGCTCCTTCCGGAGTTCTACCACCTGACTTTGCAGGGCATTCATCTTCTCCTTGTAGAGTTCAAAATCCACCTTGATTTTTTGGAACTGAAAGAGGGTCTGCTCTTTTTCTTCCAAGTACTGATCCAGAGTAAGAAAACAGACAAGTTACTGATATCAGCAGGGGTCTGGGTGGGGGACAGGGGTAGATAGAGGAGGTTAAATGAAAGTAGAATCTTACATAGTATTACTATTCAATTTTTAAAATGTCGAAGTTGCTAATGGCTTCTCTTTTCCTTACACATTTACATGAGGTGGTTAATTTCTATGTATTTGCATCATGTTTATTTAATATCTCAAAATATAAAACTTTTCTTGCCTTTCCCCCCAAAATTCCCCAGCCTCTTTCTTCTCAGGAAGGAAGTTTCCCTTCCTTGTTAAAGTCACTGATTCAAGGTAAGCAAACCCAGCCCAACAAAGAATTAGTTGGCTTCCACCTACATACAAATAGCTTGACTACCCAGAAAGTCCTGCTTCCATACTTACCAATGTGGGCATATCTTCGGGAAGGGCAAAGGTGGTAGAAGATAGAGAGGATGTCAGTTACCTGTTTGCGCTGCTTCTCAGCAGTGACTGCTCTTTCCCTCAGGGAGTGGATGCGATCCACCAGTTCCTGCTTGCTATCCAGTGCCTCATCCAGATTCTGTTCCAAGATGTCCTTCTCTACCTGGGACATGGAGAGGTCAGCGCGGAGTACTGCAGCCCAATGACCCCCACCTTGCCCAAAGCCTACCTCCCTAGGGAGCAGGGAATATTGCCAATAGTAAAGTCCTAAGAATGTCATTATTTCATTCAGGGCAGAAAAAGAAATAATATCATGTAAATTAGTATAAGCTTACAGCCCAAAATTTAAAAGGAAATAAGCTATGGGAAGGTTGTGTGCACGCGCATGCGTGTGTGTGTGTGTGTGTGTGTGTGTGTGTGTGTGTGTGTGTGAGAGAGAGAGAGAGAGAGAGAGAGAGAGAGAGAGAGAGAGAGACAGGTATAGTTTATAAAATGTTGCACTTGACCTGAGTTCAGATCTTATATCTAACACTTACAAGCTGTGTAACCATGTGGCTTCCATGTGGCTTTCATTTAACCTTTCTGAGCCTTCATTGACTCTGTAAGATTACAAATTTGGTTGTACATATACATATATGTATATATTAGGCAGCTAGGTGGTACAGTGGATAGAGAGCTAGGCCTGGAGTCAGGAAGACCTGAGTTCAAATCTAGCCTCAGACATATACTATCTTTGTGACCCTGGGAAAGTCACTTAATTCTGTTTGCCTCAGTTTCCTCATCTGTAAAATGAGCTGGAGAAGGAAACAGCAAATCATTCTTTGCCAAGAAAACCCCAAATGGGGTCACAAAGAGTTGATCATAACTAAAAATGACGGGACAACAACAATGACCTCAGAAAGGATCATTGATCTAGAACTGGAAGGGACCTTAGAAAACATCTAGTCTAGCCACCACATTTTACAATCAAGGAAACTGAGGCTCAGAGCCATTAATTGACTTGCCTAAGGTTATATAGATAAGTAAGTTCAAGAGGTAAGATTTGAATCTAGCTCTTCTGACTCCAGAGCCAGAGCTCTTTCCAATACATTTGAGTTTTCTCTTGTGGAAGTTATGGATAGGTTTCTCTCATGCAATTTCTCTCAGTAGAGCAAATTCCCACGCCAATGAGATGCAAGTCCTACACACACACACACACACACACACAGCTAACAAACACCTCAGGCTCAATTTTTTATGGTCCAAGGGACACAGATCAAGAACGATGTTGGAATCTATTGAACTTAACCATTCTCATATTACCAAGTAAAGAATAGCAGTTTCAACCTTCTCCATCATGTGTCATGTAGGGATACTACACAATATGTTCCCATATGCCAAGAGTTCCGTGCCCCAGCATGTTCCATGTTCTAGGCCACCCATGACAATATTTAACCAGTCCAACCCTGATGGTTGGGGTCTACTCACCTGGCTGAAAGTCAGAGACCTAAGTTTCTCATTCTCCTCCTTGAGCCTATTGACCTCTCCTTCTTGGAGTTCCAGGTTAAATCTGTCTCTAGACTCACGCTCACAGCAGGAAGTCATCTGGACCCGCTGTAGCTCCTGCTTCATTAGATACAACTGTCCAAGATAGAGAAGTATAGAGATCAAAACCTTGGCCTCCATGATAGAATGCAGTTGGTTATAAACAATCACTTGGCCAGCCCTGAAGAATAGAGCTCTTTCCACTCACCTTGAAAAAAAAAGTTTTTCAACTAGACCAGAAATCATTTGTATTGTTTATTCTCCTTTAATAATGATAGTTATAAAATTCAGGAGCCTTCCCATCATAGATATGAATCTTTTTAGGGGTGTCAACTAATGAATAGTCTCAATTCCCCGTGACAAGGGCAAGATATTCTTTGCTTTGTCTTGTAAGTGAAGCACAAATATTATGCAATTGGACTTGAGACCACTGTTAATGCAATCCATGAGTCCTGATGAACAACTCGATTCCTTCTACTCACTTACCCATTGGTTACCAACCAGCATTGTTATGATAAATGATGTTAGACATCACCTAGTAGCTCCCAAGGTTTGTAATACAAGGAATTATGGAATCATGAAAATGTCAAGAAATGATTTGAAAGGGGATCAGAATAGTGCATTAACTTGAGAGCCACCTCTGATAATACATTGTTGTTCAGATACTCAGTTGTGTCTGATTCTTTGTGAGCCTATGGACCACACTGTCCATGGAGTTTTCTTGGCAAAGATATTGGAGTGGCTTGCCATTTGCTTCTCAGTGGATTAAGGTACACAGAGGTTAAGTGACTTGCCCAGGGTCACACAGCTAGTAAGTGTCTGAGGCTGGATTTGAACTCAAAATTTGAACTGATAATATACTGCCTACTTAATTCAAACATATTGGAAATAAGTTATATGTGAATGCTTATGGCTTTAGAGACAGGATGGCCCCAGAGTCAAGAACACTTGAATTTAAGTCCTGCTTCTGACAAATACTGGCTGTGTGACCTCGAGGAGATGACAGCTTCTCAGTGGCTCCAGATCTCTAGACCACGCTGCTGCCTTCTTATCTGTGATGCCTTCTTCCCTGGGATGCTTCTATACTACCAATGGATGTGGTGCAACTGAGAGAAAAAGGAAAATTGTTCCAGTGAGGCATGAAGCAAGTGCCTGTATATTTATGGGCAGAGTCCATGAGTTTGCTCTTGGGACCAAGCCAAGAGACTACACCTTGTACTCTTTCTTACAATAACAGATCTGTCCTTCCAGTAAATATCTCTAGGCTGGGGGGGGGGGGCTAAATCATACTTGGAAACTGAGGGACTTTAAGCTATAATCTCAGATATTATTTGATCCTAATTAACTCATTTCTTTTCTTGGGTGCCCTGATTATCAACCTGTGCAAGGTAAGACTACTGAAGCATTTATCCATTGGTCTGTAGATTAACCTGTACCCTCTGTACTTTGAGCAGGAAGGAACCAAGGATAATCCAATGGAAATTTACACCACCTAATTTGTAGAGGTCAGTTTGGTGTCCTGGCATTCTTTTAAGATGAGGGTGTGGCTACTTCTAAGCAAGTTGGGCAGATTCTTGCACTGTCAAGCTTCCAGGAAATGAAATATCTGAGTATGAGGGATCCATGATAGGGTTTGCAAGAATGTGGAACAAGAGCGGATCACAGCTATTAATGTCTTGGTGGGGTCAATTAGCAGTAAAGGGCCTTTTGTGTTGACTGCAGCAGAAACTAGGAGTCGTAGAGGTAGGTGATTAATTTATGCAGTAGGAAATGAAGAAAGAGACAATGTGTGTAGGGGGACAGGAGAAGGAATCCCTTTCAGGCACAGATTCTTTTAGTCACACCTCACTTCAATGATTCCATTCTTGTAAAATGAAAAATGACAGGTAACCTTTCTGATACCTAGCAAATAGGAGGAGATCAAGCAGCTCTATATCAAGACGAAACTTGTCCAATCCACCAAAACTCGAGTCTCTTTTCATACAGTAGATACTTAATAAATGCTTTTTGAATTTAATTAAATTTTATTTTACAGCTTAAAGTTGGCCTTTATTAATTCAGTCTCTTCTCTAACTTGATTTCATCTTCTCCCAAAGCTACCATAATTATTGTATTATCTGTTTTGTCTCCCCTTATTAAAGTTTTTTCTTAATTTTATTGTCAGTTCCAAATTCTCCCCCTGCACCTCCTTCTCCACCCATTGAGAAGTCAAGAAATATGATACCCATTACACATATGAAGTAATAAAAATATATTTCCGTATTAGCCATGTTGGGGGAAAACCAAGAAAAATAAAGAAAGTTTTAAAAATGCTTCAATTTGCACTTAGAATTCATTAGTTCTCTTTCTGGAGGTGGATAGCATTTTTCATTATGAGTCCTTTGGAATTGTCATATGGGATAAGGCTCTTGAAACCAGAAACTGGATCTACCTTACTCTATACCCTTAAGTAAGAGTCCCTGTACTCAGATATTCAAAAGGCTGGTTGATAGACTTGGGAAGAAAAGTCTTGGAGCAGACTGACTATGTAGGTAAATGCATGACTTTGAATATATTCTAAGCTCATTATCAAGTCTTTCTTTATTTTCCATTATTTTGTATTATCTATACCTTTTCCCCTCCCTTTGCCCATAGAATTGAGAGATGGCATGATCTGTGGCTAGTATTTAATTATCTGAGCCATGCTGATGGCTTATGCCTAGGGTAAGAGATCTGATGCCCTTAGTGGGTGAGTCCAGGAAAATGGAGTTGTGAACATATCCTTAGATGACAAAGGTCACAGAAGAGAGAACAATAACATTTTGTAAAAACACACAAACAGGGCAGGTAGGTGGCACAGTGGATAGGGCTCCAGTCTTGGAATCAGGAGGACCTACGTTCAAATCTGGCCTCAGACACTTGACACTTACGAGCTGTGTGACCCTGGGTAAGTCACTTAATCCCGATTGCCTCACAAAAAACAAAAACAAACAAACAAAAAAACCCCCACAAACCAACAAACCACAAGATAAGAGTTGGTGTGAACTCTCTCTTCCTCACCTCTTCCTGCAGACTCTGGCAGCGGGAGATGGCCAGGTCCTTGTCCTGCAGAGCATTGGTGTACCTCATGGACAAGTTGTACATCTCATCCTTCAGCTTCAGCACCTGGTGGAACTGGGTGCTGACTTCCCTCTTCATGCGGTTGTGCTCGGCTTCCATGTCCCTTAGGCTCTTATTCTGGGTCCCCAGTTTACACAGTTGTTCCTTTAGCTTATGGCAATGCTGCTGCAGTTCCTGGCTTTTCATCTTCTCCTGTGACAGCTCCTGCTGGAGGCTGTTGATGGCTCCAGCCAGGCATTCAGTCAGCTTGGAAGTATCAATGAGGCCTAAGGGAAAAGTCATTGAGTGGGAAGGAGGCCTTCTTACCTGACTTTGGGATTCCCGTGCAATTCCCTCTATAATCTGGCCTCTGCCTACTTCCTTCTTCAACCTCATCTCTGGCTACTCCCCTATATAAACCAGGGCTTCAGCCCAAGTGATCAATTCCCTTTCTCCCCTGATCCTCCATCCCCACCCTACCACCTTCCATGCCAGTTGTTATTCTTAGCTATGTTCACTCTCTCATGGGATCTCTGGACAATAAGTCTAGAGCTAGAGCAGGTCACTAGACCACACTCCTATCTTGTTATCTGTGATGCCTTCTTCCCTGGAATGCCTCTCTACTACTAAGCCCACTCTGCATTCCCTTAGGATGTGCTTGCCTGGGTTCCTTTCTTTTTGTTTTCAATGTGGCTCTTAGGGAGACAAGAATAGACATCTCTAGTGTCTTTTCCCTTTACCCTTCTCCAAGGGAGACTTTAATTACTGCCCAGAGGGAAAAGAGGAGGTTGGGGCTAAAGGTAGGCTTTGCTCTCCTCAGTGAGAGGGTACTGGGATAAAATTATATCTTTCTGTTCTTTTAAATAGTATTAGGCAAGGGGATACCATTTTTAGGTTCAAGCTAAACTGATTGAAAGGAAAGGTCCAAGTTTTACATCCAAGGCCTGACTCCACCAGATACCAGTAACACGATGAGCACAAATAGCAAAGAAACCCATTTATCCAAGTTGATAGTAAAACAGAAATCAAAAAGTGTATGTATGAGAATATGTACATGCTGCATTAAAAATTAGTATTAATGACTCCATTTTGTTTTTATCTACCATTTTGTGAAGTTAAGTTTCAACTCCATGTAAGTCACCTGATTTAGGAGGTTTCACAAGAGGCATCTGACTTAAAGAATGTCACAAGAATACCCCTCTTCCTCTCACTGTGGTATCTCCCAACCCCTTTTCCATCTGTGAAAAACCAAATGTCTCAATCTATATAACCTTATGTCTCCTGTTTTTCCCTCCAAATTATATATTAACTATGAGAAACCAAGTTTCTGGGTCCTTGGCTACTAAGACCCTTGGACCTGGTTTGTTTTGCAACCACATGCATTGCTAAATAAATTGTTGCCTGGACGTAATTCCTCGATTTCTTTATCCTACCAAAACATACAAAGTGAAGGAGTTCTCCCACTGGGAGTGAGACATCTTAGCTGAACAAAGAGAGAGAGTGTCCCTGAGCTCACTCAAGGGTAAAATTCTCTGAAATCTCTAGTGTAGCAATCTGAGGATAGGGATATGATGGAGACTGCCAGCTCCTGTCACATCATCTTCTTCCCAGAGTTTCTCTCTTCAGAGACCTGCAGAGAGGTTGGCATTGTGTATCTTCCAAGCTGGAAGCTAGAAGAACCCAGGATCTCCTTTGACCTCTCTTGATCTCTCCATCTTTTTCCTCCCCTCAAGCAGACATGGGGCATTGATCTCTACCAATAGATGAGGGTCCCATAGCAAAGGGCTTTGAAACTCAAGTTATACATGATGCTACTTCTCCTGGTTCTCCTCATGTCAATCTGTTTCACTGTCGCCTTTGTTGGTTATTCATCCATGTCTTGTTCCCTAACCATGGGCATCCCTAAGGCTCTGCCCTGCGCCCTATTCTCTTATCTCTCTATTCTCTCATTTGGCGACCTTATCAGCTCCCATGGGTTCAATCACCACCTCTATCTAGATGATTCCTACATCTACTTATCTAGTCCTAGTAGTCTCTCTCCTGAGCTCCAGTCCCACAAAATCAACTGCCCATTGAACATTTCAAACTGAATCTCAAACATATGCCCAAAACAGAATTTGTTATCTTTCTTTCCCCTCTTTCCAACTTTGCTATTATTGTTGAGAGTACCATCAATCTCAAAGTCACCTAGGCTCACAAACTCATTCATCCTTAACTCCTCATTCTCACTCACCTTATATATCCAGTCTGTTGCTAAATCTTGTTTTTACCTTCACAACATCTCTTACATATGTTCCTCTTTCTTCACTCACAGGGCTCCAGTCCTGGTTCAGGCCCGTATTGATTCTTACCTGGACTATTGCAACAACCTATTAATTAGTCTCCCTGCCTCAAGTTTCTCCCCACTGCAGTGCATCCTCCAATCATTTACCAAAGTGATTTTCCAAAAGCATAGGCCTACCCATGTCATCTCTCCTCCTCAACAAACTCCAGTAGCCCCCTGTTACCTTCAGAATCAAAAATAAAGCCCTCTATTTAGCATTTAAACTTTTCATTATGTGGCCTCTTCCTACCTTTCCCAGGTCTTTTTACACTTCTTTACATTCTATGATCCAATGACCCCTTAACTCTTGTTATTTCTACCTTTACAATATCTCTCATATATATCTCTTTCTCTATATTCATAGGAAGGAAAGAAATAAGCATTTATAAAGTGCCTACTGTGTCAAACACTTTACCACTAATGTGCTAAGTATTTTACAAATGTTACCTCATTTGATCCTCACAACCCTGGGAAGTAAACATATTATCCTATTTCACAGTTAAGAAAACTGAGGGAGAGAGCCATTAAGTAATTTGCCCAAGATCACACAGTTAGCAAGAATATAAAGTCAGATTTGAGACTCAGGTCTTCCTGAGATCCAGCACTCTATCCACTCTCTCATTAGAAGGGCAGGGGTTGTTTTCACCTTATTTCGTATCCCTAGTGTTTCATACAGTGCCTAGTGCTCAGCCCTGGCACATAGTAAGGGCTTAATAAATGCTTATTTACTGACTCAGTGATGGAAACAATACTAGTTATTTGATGCCTGAGCCCCTAGCTAAAAGTAATTTTTCCCATCTAATATTTCTTACAAGGAATTATGCAGGAGAAACAGCATAAAAGATGAAAGAAAATACCATTTAAAAAACATTTACAACAAAGAGAGTAAGGGATAACAGATGGAAAACCCGAGTGTAGTGTTGATATCCTAGTGATGTTAAGAGAAACTGAGGAAGGCCTCCACCATGTTAGGTGGAGTCCCTGGAACTTGTAAGGAAACAGACAAAAGTCACTGGAGATGGGCAATTTTAAATAGATTGTGATCAGCATTATTGATCCATTTCATTATCATCTCAGATTCTATGATGGACTGGAATATGGGCAGGATCAAATAGAGGGATATAGAGATATCTCTTTTATTTCTTAGAGTGGCTCAATCTTGAAATCAGCCTAGATAGAATGACTAGACACATTCAGTTCCTCATATCTGGGTCTATCTCAATCCCAGTTCACTCTCAAGACCCGCCACAGAGAGCAGCAAAGTTACTCTTTTCCAATTTCACAGGCCACTTACAAATTATCAAGCTTCTATCCTCTCCTTGAAAGATACAAACTGCTTTGTTCTGCTTCCAAGGACAGCTGCAAGAAGTTTATAATCCTGCCTGACTGTCTGCTATTTTTCTTTTTTATTTTACACTTATAAACACGAGTAGGAAATGGCTTGTAATCGGAGCCTGCTTGGTTAACAAAGGATATTGTCAAAGAAAACTGTCAGTCAGCAGATGCCTCCTCCTACCACTGCTCAGTAACAATAAAGCTTCTTTATATTCTCTAAACTTTGAGAGCTGGGGAGTTTTTTCCATAGTTCATTACCTAAGAGATTCTAAAACACAAGCTGTGAGATGTCATGAGCTTAGCACTTTGTCTGAGGCATCTAGATCTCTCATTTGTTTCTTCTTTTTTTTTTAAACAGGTAAGACCCTTTACTTCTAATTCTGTTCAGGGCTGTTTCTGTTTTGGATTGGCTGGGTCCCAGAATTAGAATCCCATTCTGCTGTGTTTTGTGCCAGCTGAATTCTTACTGGAGCCTTGTTTTTGTCTTCTGTCTGGGCAGGTTCCTGGAAGTGGAATATGGGAGGAAGAATCTTGTTTAAATCACCTGCACTCAAAACAATATGCCAGGTTTAGAAGTATAGATTGTTGTTGTGCAAGGCATGACCTGCGTTATTTGCCTATTCCAGACCAAGTGTGTATGTCCCTTTAAGGGGATCTGCAGAAGGTTTTGAAGCTTCCACAGACTCAACCCTGGGGGCAATCATTAGCCACCAGGCTGCCTGCTGTGAACGCATCACAGTCTTGTATTAATGACTCAGAAGGTATAAGTGTTGCAGATTAGTATACTCCTCTGTGGCACTTTATCCTCCTTTCTTGAGGTGTTTTATGAGTCATCTATTGCAACTCTGACTCCCACCTTCCAAGAGCCTGTGTAGGGGCAGAGGCTAAGCCTCTCTCTTCACCAGCGTGGGTGGTGAGCTAAGAGCAGAACTCTAACTTCCACCTCAGCAGGATCCTCCTGAAGGCAGAGGGCCACCTTGGCAGCTATTATGGCCATGGGCTGAGCTGTAAGTGAAAGAAGTATTTGAATAAGCCTTCCCCTGTTTTCCCATAGATATGTGACAGGGACAAGTCTTATTTTTAAGTGAGTTACAGTTTCCTCTAAGGAATCTCCATTGTCTTTGTGATTCCTTATTCTCTTAAGACTTATTTTATGGACAAGCAAAGGGGTAACCTCCCACTAGATAATTTCCTTGAAGGAGTAACATTTGATCTCAATATTTAACAAAAAGGAAACATAAATGCTTACAACACACAGTGCTAAGCGAAAACAAAAATGGGAAGCTTTCTTCGAATGACACACTACGCCTTGCAACGGCACCTCTATTTTTTTCTTCAGTCTCTGCTTTTAAATGTGAAAATTTATAAATGCCAACAAAAATTTTCATTTTTCTTGCTTTTACCTATAAATCAGCAAGATGGTGGAATGGATAGAACATTTGGCCTGGAGTCAGGAAGATCTGAATTCAAATCCTGATTCAGACATTTGCTAGCTATATGATTCCGGGCAAACCACTTAACCTCTGTCTGCCTCTTTTTCCTCATCTGTAAAATGAGAATAATAAAAGCTCCTAGTTCAGAGTTGTTGGAAGTATATAATGAAATCATATTTGTAAAGCATTTTGCAAA